TCTGAAACAAAGGTACAGGGGGAAGAAAAGCAGTCTATAGATATTATACGTAACAAAGTAGAACAGGATTAAAACAAAATGATAAGGGAAAGGGGAAGTAGAATAAATTCACTACTAGTAGGGATCTACTCACATAGTAGGGGTCATTTAAATTTACTGCAGTGGAGTAGATATTTAAGTATCTCTTAAGATATTTAAGGCACATATAGAATGACAATCAAGTTAGTACAGAGACCACTACAACATAAATTAACAAATCTTCCTAAATGACTAAGATATTGTTAACACAAAAAGGCACACATTCACATTGAGAAACAATGAATCTATTCTAATAAAATTATAACAAGTGTGAGAGATAAGACCAAAGCTATCAATGAATAAAAATGAATTTAATGAATCTACTAAAACTGAAGTTATTTTGAATAGCAAAGACAAATTCAATGCTCCATACAGGAATCACAGGTAAAACAGCCGAGAAATTAAAGGTAGTAACAGAATAAGCAAAAATATAGCAAACACGTAAGCATAATCAGAAATAAGGTATATAATCCTGTGATAAGACAAGATAGAAGTTAGTTATTAGAGGAGGCAAAAATGGTAATTAGAATACTAAATGACAATTTGAAATGAATATGTACTAATAATGAGTATACAGCAAATAATTCAGAAACAGAAACTCATGAAACAGAAGATAAAAGGTGAAATTGACAAAAACGAAGAAAAAAGAAAACACACATAAGACACTCTCCAAAATAGGACAAGAAATAAAAATTAAGTACATTAAAGATAAAAATATTTAATAATATATCTTAAAGAAGGAATGCATAATGAGCTTTGCTCTCTGAAAATAGGAATTTACTTTCTCATATGCACAGGAAAACATTTCTGAATATTGAGTGTATAGTAAGTCAAAGAAAAAATTCAACAAAGTTCATAAAGAAGAAATTCTACAAATAACATGCTCTGACACAATGCAATATAACAAGAAATTGGCAAGATACTAAGAATAAAGGGCCATTCTATCTAAAACAAAGGTAAAAACTCTTTTAATAATGCTAGGGAAAAGTGGCAAAAACCAACACTGCAGTATGTCTACTATAAAAAGACAATGTTAATGAAGATATTGAACAACAGAATTGAGGTGATACAACTGAAGCAATAGAAAAAAGATTCTTTGATTTTTATTATTTATCATTTATTTATTTTGGCTTTTGAGACAGGGTCTTGCTACATCTGGCCTCCAATTCTCAGTGATCCTCCTGCCTCAGCCTCCCTAGTGCTGGATGTCAGACATGTGTCATCATACTTGGCTAATTCTCAATTTTTGAAAGCTAGAAAAATGTAGGAAAAGGAAGCAGAAAGGAGATAGAAAAAAGTTTTTAAAAATCTATAAAATAACTAAATTATAATTTGGGGTATTTGAATAAAAATCTAGATAAAAAGAAATCAGATGCTGGGCTGGGATTTAGCTCAGAGGTCCAAGCACCTGCCTGGCAAGTGAGTGGCCATGAGTTTGATCCTTGGTACCAACGCATAAAAAAAGCAGATGCTTTGATAATTATAGTATTTATGCTAAGTGACTTCAAAACATTTTAAAATGATGATGATAATCAAGATAGTGTGCCTTTGGGGAAAGGAGGAGGACACAGATTAATGGAGCACAATTGAAAATCTAAAAACAGCTTCTCACATATGTAATCAATTGATATTTGAGAATCCTCATAAAATACAAATGTCATTCTTAAAAGAACTATTAAAATTAACATGAAAACATGGGAGACTCAGAATAGCCAAAGCAACCCTGAGTAAAAAGAGCAAGCTGTGTCACCATATTTGATTTTAAAATACCCTACAAAGTTAACGTAATGAAAACAGGACAGCACAGCCATAAAAATGGAACAGGACAGAGGACATAGAAATAGACCCACAAAGTTACAGTCATTTGATTCTTGAAAAAGAGGCCAAAACCATACACTAGAGAAAAGACAGCCTCTTTAACAAATGATGCTGGAAAATCTGGATATCCATATGTACAAAGTCAATTCTAATTTTAAACCCCTAAGTGTAACTGAAAATTCTAGAAGAAAGCACAGGAGAAGCACTTCAATGAACAGGTACTCACAAAACCTTTCTGAATAGAAGTCCAATAGCACAGGAAAGAAATGCAAGAATCAACAAAAGGTATTGCATCAACCCTGAAAGCAAAGGAAATAACAGAATGAAGAGACAGCCTGCAGAAGAGGAGAAAATCTTTGCTACTCTTCTTATAGAATATTAATAGCCTGAATACATAAAGAACTTAAAAAACTTAGCAGCAAAAATAGTAATAATAAATAATAACATATCAATAACCCAAGCAGTACACAGGCAAATAAACTGAATAATCACTTCTCAAAAAAAAAAAAAAAAAAAGAGTACAAATGGTTAATAAGTATATGAAAAAAAATGCTCAACATCTTTCCCATCAGATATACGCAAATCAAACCTAAATTGAGATTCCATCTCACCCTAGTCAGAATGAATTCATAACACACACACACACACACACACACACACATACACACAATAAATTCTGTCTGTAGGGATGTAGGGAAGGAAATGAAGTCTTCCACATTGTTGGTGGAAATGTAAATTATTACAGCAACTAGGGAAACCAGTTCTGAAGGTCCTCAAGTAAATAATAATAGGGCTATTACTTGACCCTGGTGAACCACTTTTGAATGAAATAAAGTCAGCATTCCGCAGAGATAACCCTCATATGTATGCGCCTCTGTACAACTGTCAGCAGCTAAGCTATGGAGACAACTCAGGTGCCATTAACTATAAATATGGATGACAAAATGTAAGAGTAGTGGCACATCACAAAGTCAAATAAAATCATGTTATTTGCAGGAAAATGGATAAAACTGGAAAGCATCATGGAAAATAATAGGCCAGACTCAAAGGTATCACATATTTCCTCCCATATATAAAAGAAAGATTTTATTGAAAGAAACATGACATAAAAATAGAAGAGAGAATACTAGAGACAAAGACAGGACTCAGGGCAGGGGAAAAGGATGAGCAAGCAGGGCAACAGGTGTTGATGATACAGCATATTAGACGCACACACAAATATGTCAAAAGAGAACTCGTTACTCTGTATAACTGTACGTGTATACATGAATACAATTCAATTGGAAGTAACAGATTTTGATAAATGGTGTTATATACCTGAATACCCACAAAAGAATGAATGAACATGGACTTTTCTCTCACATTACACATAGGAATTAACTCAAAATAAATTATAGACTTCAGTATCTAAACTAAGATTACAACAATTCGGAAAACACTTAGAAGGGGTAATGTTCTAAATGCCACTCATCAAGAGTGAACTGACCTCAAAATGCTAACCACAGTATAAGTCCATCTGGTAAAATATCATCAGCTATGAGGAAGAATGAAATATTGACACAGACCAAAACATGGTTCAACCTTGAAAATGATACAAGTGAGAGAATCAGTTTCAAAAATTGCATTTTATGATTCCACTTGTGGAACATGTCCAGACCAGGGGATCTGTAGTGAGAGAAGGGAGAGCAGCTGTCTAGCACTGGGTACAGGAGGCAGGACTTTGAAGGGAAATGGGCAATGATGATGGGCATGGGGTTTTCTTGGGGATGACAATGTTTTAAAATTACCTGTAGTGATGGGTGCATACCTCTGTAAATACAGTAGAAAACATTGTATTGTATATTATATGTGGGTGAATTTCACATACGCAAGTGGAGGAAGCTAAGGGTCAAAGAATTTGCAAAATGATATAGAGTTAGAAAACCTCATTGAAAGCTGAAGGTCTAACTTGGTCTATTCTATAACTTCTACTATTTCAAAGAGTAATCTTACTTCTTGGGGTATATGGATTTATACTAACAACATACAAATAAAAGCTAAATTAATGCCTACTTTGCAGGTATAGAAGAACCCAATTAGATAACATGATTCATATGATTAGAGACCATAACAGTTTTATTCTAACAAAAATTGATAAATTTTTCTAACAAATAAGTAGAAAATGAAATTCAGTGGAACATAATTAATAGGAGAATGAGTTTTAACCCCAGTACCAAAAGAAGAAGGAGGAGGAGAAGGAAGAGGAGGAGGAGGAGGAAAAACAACTAAGACTAAGCTTTTTAAAACAGGCCTAATATTTTATATTTACATTCACATTTACAGGAAGTACTATCTATAAACTTTGAGGAATCATAGAGAATTTCCAATAAATAGGCAAATTTTTCAAAAGAAGAAAATAAAACTACAACTATAACATATGGAATGGATTTCTGGGCAAATCTGAGCTTCAGAGGCTGACTATTTGGAAATAGGATGACATCTCTAATTCCACTGCTTAACCAAGTGGCTCCTTCAGCTCTGAGGAATTCCACAAATCCTGTCCTGAGAGATCCAAATCGGCTTATACACATCCCAGACGCACTGGCCTGATTATATTAGAGCCTTGAGTCCTCTTATGCACCATAGAAAGCCCATTTCTACTTACTATGTGGCAAATCACCAATGTTCTGTAAGAAAGTAATGGCGCTAAAGCATCACCATCAGAAGTGCCACTCTGCAGCCCCCTCCTGCTCCGACTGCTCATCCTTACCCCAAACGGTTTAGAGCCAGAGATGTTGTAAGGTTAGGGTAGAAGCTTCCCCCTGAAACTTCCATCCCTTGAGACACAGCGCTATGAATTCCTGCCTCTAATTCACCAAGTAAGCCCATCTGAATGGGTTATTGATGACTCTCAATTTTCAGTATTCCGTGGTCTTGCTCCTCACACATGAGTTCATGACTGGTTCAGAGGAAAATTAGAGTCATTCTTAAATTAAATTCAAAAACTTTTAGCATTTTAATTTATCCAATGCTATATGTAAAAACTTCTAGTATTGGTATATTCTTCTAATGTTTACTCACAAAATAAAGAAATTATTTTCATTTTGTTTTATTTTAGTAAATACCTTGAAGCCAGGACTACCCATTAATCCATCTTTTCCATGTCTTCCTGGTTCTCCCTGAAAAATAAACACATGTATTTTTAACATATTTTTGCACTGCTTTATCTTTTTGGAGAAAGATACTACACTTTTTATTTATTTAAGGTAAAATACTCAAGAATGTTTTTTCCAGTTAAACTCACAGGATGTCCAGGAAGGCCAGGAAAACCAGCATTCCCCTTTTCACCTTTTGCACCCTGTATTAAAAGTAACACTTAAAAATAATCCTTATAATAATGTTTCTCAATTTTTAAACTTACAGTGGAAAGTTAACAAGCTAAACTCATAACAGAGTGGCAGGATTGGTGAAACCGCAGATCTTGTTGGCTCTACAACTTTTGTTAAGGCATGACTTTTTAGCAGTTCAGTGGATAAAATGTAAAACAATTAAATAAAAGTGTTGACGAATGCAAAATTACTATTATAAGCATTTAGACAGAGACACTACATCTTCACAAAATAAAAAAAGTAGTGGGCATTTTAAACACCAAGCATACAAGCTTTCCTAAGTGTGAAGAGATAGAAAGGTTTGTAACATGGATATCTTTAAAGCAGCAGCTCTTCCCAAAGAATCCCTCCCTGTGAATGTTGCATCAATTCACAATAAAATAACAGACAGCATTCCTATAGGGTACTATACATAGCAGTCATTAGACATTTCTTTCTGTTTGTTCATAGTTTGAAATAAGTCCTCTGAGAATTGTACAGTTGAGTGGAGATGCAAGTTTGCTACTTTGATTACACTGAAAGGTCAGTGTGGGTGCTCTGCGTGGGATCCATACTTCCCTTCTTGCCGTAAAACCCAGGTGAACCTTTATCTCCTTTGGGGCCCATTTTGCCCTGAAAGACAGACACAAAATGAGTGAGTTTTAAAGAAAATAAGTATTTCCCTTAGAAGAAAAATCAATACAGATTATAGACAAAATCAAAATAAAATAATTTATCCACTATAAGTTCTATTTTGCAGGCTTTATAAGGATAAACAAGTACTGCAACAGGGCTTACATGCCGATTTTGAGGTTGAGACAATTAGCATATAGTACATTACACACACTGTATATAGTAAACTTGCTCATAATTACACATTTGTAACGAGAGAATTTAGAGAGATCTTTTAAAATTTTATGTAAAGGATGACAATTTTAACTCAATAATTTTATTTCAACATACTTACCGTTATATTTATCTACAAACATTTACTTAAAACAAATATAATGTAAACATACTTTCATTTTAATTAAAATATAGCATTGCTAAATTACAAGAGATGTTTTCAACCTTTGATCCTGGCATCCCATGAAGTCCAGGAAAACCAGGAAGTCCACGGTCACCCTGAAAATAAAACTGAAATTAACTAAAGGAAAAATATTCCAAGAATTGTAACACTCAACAAGAATTAAAATGTATTTAACATCACCATTAGAAATGAATCTCCAAACATAACCACTTAAATCTATATCTGTATGAAATGTTGTCTTCATGAAGATTAATTTTCATTATCATGGTGTCATTTGTGATGCAAGGGGCAATCTTTTTTTTTTTGGGGGGGGGGTACTGGGAATCGAACTCAGGACTTTGTCCTTGCCAGGAAGGCGTTTGTGTTGCTGGGATATATCCCTGGCAAGAAGGAAAACATTTTAAAGTTACAGAGACTGCACAAGAAATCCTGAGTTCACCCTTATAGAACTGTCATCTCTTCAGAAAGCAACATAGACTTTTTTATAGGACCAAACAATGAATTAATTGAAATGGTTTACAGCCAACATTCTCTAGAAACAGTCAGCCTTAAAGGTTCCACATGACTCAGTAAAGACAGACCCTGAACTGAAAATCCCAACACAAACTAGAATTATGTCTTTTTTGTTGTTTCTTTTTTCTTTCTTTCTTTCTTTTCTTTTTGATGATGGGAGGATTGAACTCTTGACCTTGTACTAGCCAGTTAGGCTAGTACAAGCCACTGAGCTAAACCTCCAGCCTATGTAGGTTTTTAACAGATGCTAATCTTACAAACTGTCAGACATGTCTATGAAGATGAAAATCCCTGTTATCTCAAGAGCAAACATGAAGAAGATTCTAATCACTGGACGTATTTTTACTTAGGAGTGTGGGAAACGTTGGATACTGTTGCCTTACCTTCAAATGTTAAATGTGAAGACACAGGAGAAAAAAACTGTTATGGAATGATCTAGATCAAGCTTACTTTTGTCTTGGCAAATGAAGACACTGCATACATACAACTGTATTAATTTCGATGGTGGAAGAAATAGAGGAAGTGATTAGCTATTAAGGATTGATGTAGTTTTTCTAAAGGTTATTCAAGGCTTAAAAATTATCCAAAAGCAATTACTGTTACTTTAGAATTCTAAATTTCTGAGGCAAAACACTAAAATACATGATTACATTGTACCTACAGTTTCAATTTTCAACATTATCTGCTGCCTTTACACTATGAATGAAAACTTGAGATCACCTGACTGCCCTTCCTCTCTTCCCCTTCTAACAAAAACAAATCTCCTTAACTTTTTTTCAGCTTTAGTTAAGCCAGTAGTCAGAGCTATTAACATTGGTAGTTATGTCTTAAATATACTCTAATTACTTGGCTTCTCTTGCTCGAATATTTCTTTTTCCTAGAGTTAAAATTGTGTTTTAGTTTAATTAATTCCCTTTAAACTGTGATATTCAACTTCAAACTTCCTTGAATTACCAAAAGAACTTTTAAACACAATTATATGCATTGAAAATTTCCTATTCCTTGATAAGTCTCGTAACCATATTATTTGTTTCAGTGTAGGTTTGTTGTTCTTTATATCTGTGTTCATTGCTTTATTTAGGGGAACATCAAATGACTTCCTGAGAAAGAATTGATGGAAGGTAACATTCTGGTGTAGTATATCTCTGAAAATGTCTTTATTCTCTTTATTCACTTAATTCAAATGTCTTCATTCTATTACTATTTATCTGTATTTCATGTCACATGTAAAAAAATAACTGAAAATTTTTCCCTTCAGACTTTGGAAGGCTTTGCTCCTTTCTTGGTTGAAATGTCCTGAGTGAGATTTTGGAAGCCTTTCTGAGTCTTTCTTCATCACTTATTCAGAGCCTACATTTGGATGCCAGGGTTAGAGAGTGGATCATGCCCTCAGAAAGCCTGCAGAACTTTTGGCTTGCAGGTCTTGAAGTTTTATAAGATTATGCACTGGTCTAAAATTGTTGACACGTAAGATTTTTGCAACTCTTCAACATAGACTACGTATATTTTACATTATGAGATGACCATTAGCATTCTTGGGTCAGGGCTAGATGCTATAAAGTAGATCTAGAGTGTCCCCAAAACTTTTGTGTGATCAGAGGTAGAGTTTTTGGAACATGATTGGATTATTGGGGTCACTATGTCCTTGGTAGGTTGATCCACTGATGAATTCATAACTGAATCTGCTACTAGGAGACAGGGCCTGGTTTGGAAGAAGAATGTAACCAGGGGCCATGCTTTTAGAGGGCATATTCCCCTCTGGTCTCCTCACCTTACTCTGCTTTCTGGCTGTGTGGTGAATGTCTTTCTTCTGTCTTGAACCTCTACTATATTCTGCCTTGGAACTGGCCAAAGCATGGATAGACTACGACCTCTGAATCTTTAAGCCATGATAAATATCTCCTCTTTTAATTTGTGGGTTTTGGATATTGTGTTTCAGTAACAGTGAAAGTGACTGCTACAACTGGTATTATAATCTGATTGTCATTTGTTGTATTTGACAAGGTACAATTAAAAAACACATGAGCTTACAAAGAATTGGCCAGTTTGTAAGTAGTAAGTAAAAAGAAGAAGCCATATCTAAAAATGCAGTATGTGCAAAGATACTTTTTTCTCATCTCTAAAAGGTAAATAATATAAATGCAAAATGGCTTTAAAGATTAGAAGTCCAATTAAAACTCAGGCCCTAGGAAAGATAAAATCAAAGATATGGCTATAAACAACATTCTTATAATCTCTGAGTCAATTAAAGTGAATCCGGTGAATTCTGTCAACCCAGACAATACGTTTCACAAAAAGAAACTAAGATGCCTAATTAATGTAGGTCACCTGTTACTAAGAGTATAGGGATGTGAATGAAGCAATATTTTGGTTGTTGCTGTCATCTGGAAAGAAGAGTCAAAGACACACACATACACACACACACACACACACACACACACACACACACACACACATGCAAAACATATATATTTTGATGGACCTTGATGAACTCTGCCCATTTGAGACCTGAAAATTTACTGAGTCTGCACAGTAAATTTTCAAAACTAAAGTAAAAAGAAATGTGTCTGTACAGTAAATTTTCAAAACTAAAGTAAAAAGAAATGTAAGCCATAATCATAAATAGAAAAATTCAGTATTGGAGAGATGACAATCATTTTAAAATTAATCCATAAATGTAAAGGAATCTTAATTAAAATAAAAAGAAAAAAAACAATAAACTTCATCTGGAAGAATAAGCATTCAAAAGATATCCAGGAAAATTCTGATTATAAAAAATAATCAGCCCTGCCAGTGTATTAAATCATCTTATGAAGTAACAATAATAATACAGTTTGGAAGTGGAAAAGATAGATAGGTCAATGGAACAGAATGGAAAGACAAAGTGCCAAACCAAAGTGAATTAGAGAAGACAGTTTTCCAAATAAATGGAGACAAACTGATAGTCTGTGAATATTGTTGCAGTAACTGATTGTCCAGTTAGGAAAGAAATATGAGTGCTTACATAACCTTACTCCAAAAAACAAAAGTTTAGGTTAAAAATATATAGCCACAAAAGTAAAAGTATGAGTAATTATATTCAAAATTCTAAAATGCATAACTTTCCCAAGTAGACATACAGGCAAGGGACTGATGCATACATAATTATTAAACATTTTCTGTGTGGCTAAAACCAAGTCAAAAACGTATGAACTAGGAAAAATATTTTTGCACATATAAATGATTTCTGAAATGTATAAAGGGAAAGACAGCCACTAAATGAGGAAGAATGTGGAATTGACTCATTGTGATAAACTAATCCATTTTATAGCCTTACAAAAAATTAGGTTGAAAGATCAAGAAGTGATCGTGACTATACAAAAATGGGGACAGAAGCAGGAAAACAGCACACGTGGGTTAGTGCCACGATATATACATAACAAAACCTAACATCAGAGAACACTGAGAGCACACACAGCTGGTGTTTTGGGGCCAGAAAAGCCTCTCAGGTAAGATTCTTTTTTGAAAGGAAATTATGGCACCATGCTCTCTATAGAAAGCAGAAAAAAACTTCTGAAAATCCCTGTTTGTATGGACAAGTGCCAGGTTTCGCCAGAATCACATGAAACACTCCGTTTTTTTGAGAGAGAAAAAAAAAAAAGAAGGTAAGGTAAGCCATTTCTATGTATCCTTCTTATATCACCATTGGGTTTGTTTTAATTTTATAAACTTAAGCCATTTATCCTGGTTCTTTATTACTGGTCTATCAAAATATACACTGAAGTTCCCTGATTAGACTGACTATATAACAGAAATAATGTAAAACCACTCAGTCTTTTCCTGTTGGAAACCCAGAAATAACAGTGTTGTTTAAGAACAGAGTTCGCGTCCCTCCCAAGACACTCTGGCATGCTCACTGGGGACAACAGGAAAATTACATTTTGAATGTTAAGCACCTAACAAAGAAATGAATGATGTGTCAATAACAATCCTTGAAATATAATTAATGTATTTTATTTCTTAAACCCAACAAAAGTTTTAAAAAATGAGTTTTTTATATAATCTAGATAGATTTAAAATAATATTAAAACTTCCTGCACCTCCAAAGTTGAATTTGTCACTGGAAACTAGAGCTCAGTTGGAAAACTCCAACTATATATCAAAGAACCAATATAACCTAATTAAATGTTATCAAAGCATATCCCTCCACATGATGTAAACATTATAAGGTTAGAAAAGTAGTGAAAATACTTCATATTCGAAATTTTTTTAAAGCAGCTAATAAAATAAAATTAGTTTCAAACTGAAGTCGAGTCCTTTTGATTTTGGAAATTCAGGAGGAAGACAACCTGAAAAAATCTACATATACTCTCTTGTCTGAGATATAAAGAACACATGTTGAAGTCAGCAAGGGAGTGCATGTAATTTTAATTATTCTAGGTGGAAATTCCCACTGTGAGACTCTTTAGAGAACAGCTACAAGATGGAAATTATTGTGGAAAAATATCCTAATGGAGAACACGACTACCTCCCATTGGCCACTGTGGGATGCTGGGAGGAAAAAAAACCTCCACTGCCATAAGTCAAAGCTATTTTGGGGGTATTTTTTAAACTTCCAACTTCTGAAAATCAGGAAACCACATTTTAAAGGGACAATAAAGGAAAAGGCTTTAATTAACTTAACATTAATTTAGTTCTGGGTAATGAATTCTCAAAAGTCACATGGAATTTAAGAATAGAACCTGGAACAGCATTGTGAGTTTAGGTCCATTCTGACAAATCAGGGTTTAGCTCAAAAAAAAAGTTAATTCTGAAATAAATTATCACTGATCTGAAAATAACTTATACCCTATCTTCTCCAAGCGAATGCATGGCTTTGTGAAATTCATGCACTTATGACCCGAAAATAACACAGCAGTTACAGATGCTACCAGAAAGAAATGCCACTTTTTTTATTTTTAAGCAAAGTACATCTATTCCCAAAAAAGTTTACTCTAAGTTTTTAAGATGTACAAACAAAAAGCCCACTCGTATATGTATTCTTTAAGCTCAACTAAAGGGACAAATAATTTTTCCTTTATTTTTTCATTAATGCATACATCCTTTTTCCATGATTTCCACCAAATCATAAAGGAACAGTGACGGTCCTGTTGACAAGTGTGTAGGAGATGCTGATAACCAGAGGGGTTCTTGGGACAGGTATTTGGGGACCATAAACCTACAGCGTACTTTCTGATGGAAGTTACTCAGAAGACATCTATTGTCTTAAGTGAATAAAACCACTAAGGCTATCTTAGCTGTGCATATTTACCTTTTGGCCATCTCTCCCTGGTTCTCCTTTGTAACCTGGTAGTCCACGTGCTCCCTAAATTAATCACAAAATTAGATTATGTTAATTATGTTTTTTGTTCACTAGAAGTGAGATTTCTAACATGTGTATAAACAGATCACATACTTGTATTCCTGGGGATCCTGGAACACCTGGTGATCCTGAGATTCCCTGATAGCCCTAAAGAAAAAAATTATTAATATTTTATCATGTTTATAAAAAGCAGCTGCTTCAGGACTATCTCTTGTCTCAAGTTTCTTACACCTGAAAATTCACTAGTGACTGTTTAAAAAAATCAAAATACACAAACCATCATAAATGCTTAATAAAGAACCAATGCTCCATTATCTTAATTAAATTCTTAAAAATGTATAAGAAAAAAATCTTAATCTCTAGATTAATTTTTAAAAAATCTATGTATGCTTCAATTAAAAGAAAATCTTTGGAATGAAAATGCTGAGTCAGTGTTCTACAAAAACGGAACTACACAAACGTCCTGCACAGTGGGCAGACACTCAACACATTCAAGAGAAATGCACCTAAGGATACTGCAGGCATAAGCCAGTGTAGCGCATTTCTAACTACCTGATTAAGGACCATCTGATTTAAATGTTGGGGTTAAGTAAGCTTTGATGAATATTACTATTTACAATTGTAATAACCTTTTGATTGCTAATTTTAGAAAGCTGCCAAAGGTAAGCCCAAGAAAGGGCTGCAACATATCCCTCTTTTTGCTTGAGGCTGAATTGTCTACCAAGGCAGGAGAAGAGGAGTCACCTACGGATACTGGACTGCTCATGCCTTTCTCAGTTAGCTAGACCCTTAGTAAAACAGCAGAACTGTGAAAAGACAAACCCCTCCTTCTTCATTCAATAACACGGTAGCTGGTCTTCAGACAAACTCAAAGACCCTAGTTTTCTCAGGGCAACATCAGGTTAACTCAAACCATTTTGCACCTATCAAAACACTTTTAATTCATTCAGATCTCACCCTTCTTGGACCTTGCTATTTGGGTACAGGTACCTGCAGTCAATAGAGCAATGCAGATCTCATTAAAATCCCTAAGTACAGTAATACCTTGGTTTACAGACATTGCTGTTCGCAAACAATTCAGTTCTGAAAAGCATTTGACAAATTCCACATTGGGTGGCAAACACAACCCTGGGCATCTTTCCTACACAATACAGATGTGGCCATCTTCTCCAAAACTGTCGAATAGTGAAGTTCATGAACCAAGGTACCACTGTACTTTTTCACGCTGAAATCCAAAGCCTCGTTTCCATGCGCTATTCATCAAGTCCACATGGCTTCCACATTCATCTACCTGTGAGCACATTTAACTAAAAAGCAATCATAATTCCCCGATTTTCTGCTCACATTTTCATATATTCTTTCTAATATCCTTTGCTAGATATGACAATAATACAAATGGCTGTCTCTGAAAGTTCAATCTTAGATTACTGATTTTCTCTTTTTTTACATGCAGTCACATTTCTTATTTTGTAAATGCTTTCTCACTTCCAGAATGCTAAGTATAGAGTTTCTGTCGATAACCCTCAACCTTCCCTTTGTACTTTGTGCAGTTCTCCATGTGTATACTCCGCTTTTCCACGGTGCTAAGGCTTAGATCTAAAATGTCCCTCAGAGCCACACACGCTCACAGGTGGGGCCTTGTGAATTGATTACAGTGTATACAGCTGGCTGGCTGTTAAAAGGTGGGTCCAGCTGAAAGAGGTGGGTCATTGAGGCCTTGGCCTAGAAGACAGACCTCCCTCGTGAGCTCTTCCCTGCATGCTCTGTGCTTCCGTTCAGGTTTTGAGCAGCTCTTCTGCACCAAGCTCCTTTCCTGTGCTGTCCTGCCTTGGACCAGCTGACTGCAAAGTGGGAGCCAAAACAAACCTTTCCTCTTTTAAATTGCCTATGTTGGGCATTTGGTCCCAGTGATTAAGAAAATGGTTTATCACATGCCAACTTTTGTCTTGAGTGCTTGTGTCCAGCCGTCAGATATTTTACTTCACCAAATAACAGTCAGTCTCACAGTACACTCTTCTCTGCATCACAAAACAATCTGCAGTGTTCAAAGCCACCATCTGCTCTCTGGACTGGCACAGTCAGTGGATTATGTCTCTAAAATGAGGGACCAAGTTTAATGCTTCTCTGCATTTATAGCATTAAAAACATTGACATATTTTTGTAGATCAAACACTGCATGAATTTACTTTCAAGTCATCCATTCCGTACACAAGTGCATACAATCTCTGCCTAATGAACAACGTAATGTTTCTATAGCATGCAGCAGTAGATTAAAACTTTCAGTAATATAACATGGTTCATGCTGGCAAGATCAGTTAAGTGAGAAAAATAAAGCTGATATAATAAAGCTTGATTATCCTTCTACCACATCTGTTATTTCTGAATTTCCTTCCTTAACCCACTTTGGAATAAGTCAGACCCCAAACTGAATCTCAACTCTGTCACTACTATCAGTTTGCCAAGATAGATTACTTACAAATGCCATCACTTATCATGACCTTAAGATCCCTCAGAATACTTCATGAACCATCTGGACAATCCAAAATGATTTACAACAAACTTGTGATTGGGAATAATAATAATGATTTACACTTATGTGTTTACCATGTTACACACTATGCTTTACATCTAATAATCCACATAATCTTCACAATCGCTCTATCACAGGTTTTAAACTATCCCCACTTTCAGATAAGGAAACTAAGACACGAAGGTTTAATGCCTTGTCCCAAATTTATACAGCTCATACACTGTCAAAACCAGTGGAAACATGCTCTATCAGAGTGTTTCATAGTGGACCACATATGATAATTCTAGAATGACTCATTAGATTTGGAGAAATCCATTTTTCCAGACTATTTTTAAACTGCTTACAATTACAAGGGCCCAGAGAAAAGCAATGTTCATAAGATTCCTCAAACTAATATTAACATGGAGACTGGCACTAATCAAACTGGTTGGTCATCTGTATTCACATTTAATAAACTATTTTACTTCCGATTATTTTCAAAAGTTAAATCAAATATCTGCCTTGTTATACTATTGAAATAAATTTAATCTTTTATTATAAATTAAAAGCTGTTGAATTGTCTCTCCTCTTTGTGGCAGTTGATGGGTTGCATCTGTTACCGAGGACACACTGCATTTTAATATATTAAAACAATGTGGAAATGCCCAGCACTATGTTCCCAGTGTACTTCTGACTCATATGACCTCCAGCAGAGTCATCAAATCCCCAAATCCTGGGAGGATTGTGAAAGGAAAAGGGAAAAGTAAAAGGAAACGACAATGAATTTTAAAACTGAAAAAGATCTTGGACTAAATTTTTGGTCCTCCCTTCAATTTCTATGGGACTTTGGCTCAGTCATTTTGGGTAGTAATGATTCAGTTTCAAAGATGGGATCATAATATTCACTTCTGAAATGAAAGAACTGTATCAAAGGTGAAGATTCTGGCAGATATTAGGAATTCAAAAATAAAGTTTCTTTTATTTCTTCAACATAGTGACAGTTGGAAAGGCCCAAGAACACTTCTTCAGAAAGGTGTGGTGTAGGTTTCACAGCCAACATTACTGCCCTGGGAATGGTAGGTCCATCCATCCTCACTGGGATTTAGCCCTACTCCATATCCATGCAAACAAACACAGCCTTTTTTTTTTAATTGTGGCTGCTTGCTTTGCTTTTGGAGGAATTACAATGTAGAAACAGTGCTTTCACAATAAGAGAATACTATGGAATATATGTTCTTAAAACCTCCAATGAGTTATATTCTTGAAATCTTAGTTGCAGAAAGGCACTCAAAGATTATTCTAGAAGCTAAAGGAAACATGCTAAGTAACACAGAAAACCACAACCACATCCAAGCCAGGGGATCCCTGGGCAAAACACCAAAAGAAACTGGATAAAATTCAGAAAAAAACAAATGTTGGACTAAAAGTCAGAAAAATAAAGGTTAATGGGGAAGAATATTACAACACAACAATTTCCAAGAAGAAGAAGAAACAAAAAGTTTGCTGACTCATTCTAGGGTACACTAAAACAAGAGAAACATCCCAAAGGAAGATGAATGATAAGCTTTCACATAGCCTACTGAGTGTTTATTTTTCTGAAGACATAAAATTTTTCACTATGATAGACCTGCATTTTTATCATTTTGACTGATTAACACTATTCAATGTGAATTTTATCATTTTGCAATTATCAGCAAATCCAAATAGCCACCCTAACACCATCTGCAAGATTTCTTCCAGGACTGAAGCCTTTCTTGTGTTCACAGAAAGTCTCTTTATAAATGAATCATTTTTTTTTTTTTTTTTTTTTTAGGAAAAAGAGCTTCTCACTGCCAAATGCTAGGGAAGAATACAGAATCAATTTAATTTCCATCCATGATTCATAGTTATAATGCTCCAGGAAAGATATATAGCATTGAAATGGACATTTAGAAAATAAAATCCACATACGTGCAACAGTCATCATATTTTCTGAGTCTAATTATAATATCATAAAATATTTTGCAAACATTATACACTTTTCAAAACAATAAAGAGGGTAGATAAATTGAGCTATTTTAATATTCTAAACTTAAAAATGAGAATAAAATCTAGAGAAATCATTTTGGATGTCAACCTTTTTTTAAAAATGGAAGAATGTGATTCAAAGTTTATCACGTAGAATAAAATTTTACATAGAATAAACATTATTCTCCAAACATTTTCCAAAATTGCAAATGATATTCCTTGATACAGAGCCAGGGTAACCTGGTAACCAAAATCAAACGTGTAGTCTTAATGTCAACTGTGATTCTTCTCTTACTAGCAGACTTGTAAGCCCTGTGCAGCTACTACTAAGAAAACTCAAAAATCTTTGCCCCATTCATAGCACAAGATAGGGTGAACCATATCCAAAGCACTGAAAAGTGAGTCAATGGAGTGTGGAACGGTAGGCTGAAGGTTGCATTATAGCCTGCGGGTTTTATGAAGAACCACGATCTTGATTCAAACCCTCAAATGGGTTGAGTTGAAGGGGGTGTCATATGATCAGATTGGAATGATCACTGGCTACCACTGTGGAGGATGGGGGAGGGACTCAGGAAAGTGTAGTGGCCAGCTAGGATTCTGCAGTGTAGGAGCTGAGTTCACCCAGGTGTAT